GATCACTGAAGTATCCTAGCATCTAGAACAGTGCCTGGCATTTGTAAGCACTCAACAGATACCTGCTGGACCTGCCAGGTACTGTTCTGGATGCTGAGGGCACTTCTCTGAGCCAAACCAGGCCTAGTTCTTGCTCTTATTAATCTTACTGGCTATTGGGGAGGTAGACATTAATCAAAGAATCACCAATGAATATGTAATTACAAACTGGGATATATTCTCTAAGAGGGAATTATATGGTTCTGTGAGAGCATATAAGGAGGGGGATGCTGACCTAGCCTGGGGAGGACACTTCCCTGAGGAAGTGACATGCTCAGAGTGGGTATGTATGTGTGTGTGTGTGTGTGTGTGTGGACACTGTGCCCTCAAGGTCTAACTCTTCCCTTTTCTCTCAGTCCCAAATCTAAGGCCCGGCCATCCTCTCCCTCTGCATCCTGGCACAGGCCTGCCTCTCCCTGCCTCAGCCCAGGACCAGGTCATGCTCTGCCCCCCAAACCACCGTCCCCCCGAGGCACCACTGCATCACCAAAGGGGCGGGTTCGGAGGAAGGATGAGGCAAAGGAGAGCCCTAATGTGGCAGGGCCTGAGGACAAGAACCAGAGCAAGGGCAAAGCAAGCGATGAGAAGGAGCCTGCAGCCCCAGCCTCACCAGCACCCTCCCCTGTGCCCTCACCCACCCCAGCCCAGCCCCAGAAGGAGCAGCCCACAGCAGAGATCTCTGCAGGTGGGAACGGAGAGAGGAGGCCAAAAGGTGGGCAGGGCAGAGAAGCCAGCTTTGTCTGTATGTGGGAGGATGGTCCGAGGTGTGGGTCGCGAGAGATGCCTGGGGATTGGGTGCTGGGAGACAGGAAGGGGAGGCTTCTGCCTGCAGCAGGTCCAGGTCCAAAACTCAGGCCAGAGAGAAAGACCTCACTACTAGTTGATGACAGGAGTTGGGTGGGTGGGTTGCCTGGGTCGCCCTGAGGTCCAGGAAGCACGGAGGCATGTGAAGGAGATGGCGGTGCCTGTGCCGATGTGCTGATTCCTGGCCCTGGATCCCACTCCAGATACTGCTGTCTTGACCTCACCCCCAGCCCCCGCTCCTCCGGTGACCCCTAGCAAACCCATGGCTGGCACCACAGACCGTGAAGAGGCCACTCGACTCCTGGCTGAGAAGCGGCGCCAGGCCCGGGAGCAGCGGGAGCGCGAGGAACAGGAGCGGAGGCTGCAGGCAGAAAGGGACAAGTGAGCACGCCCTCGGGGACTGAGGGGGCCTTTATAGGGGCTGGAGAAGAAGCTGGGGATGAGCCTGAGTTTCCTCTGTCCCCCAGGCGAATGCGAGAAGAACAGCTGGCTCGGGAGGCTGAGGCCCGGGCCGAGCGGGAGGCGGAGGCCCGGAGGCGGGAGGAGCAGGAGGCCCGAGAGAAGGCGCAGGCGGAGCAGGAGGAGCAGGAGCGGTTGCAGAAGCAGGTGCCCCGTGGGTCGGGGCGCGGGCGCCTCCTGGCGGCGGGCCGCGGTGGGGGCTGGCCCGGAGGGACGGCAGGAGGACGAATGCCTAAAGCTCACGGGGGTCTTTGGTAGAAAGAGGAGGCCGAAGCTCGGTCCCGAGAAGAAGCGGAGCGGCAGCGTCTGGAGCGGGAAAAGCACTTCCAGAGGGAGGAGCAGGAGCGGCAAGAGCGCAAAAAGGTATGCGCAGCAGCGGGCCGGGTCTTGTGGGCGTGGCCTGGCGCGAGTGGGCGGGGCCAGCTCCTGGCTGGAGTGGCTAGCGGGGCCGGAGAGTGGGCCTTGCCTTGGACTTGTAGAGGGCAGGACCAGAAACTGGGGCTAGATCTGGTTCCTGACCTAGAAAGGCTGGTATGAGCTGAAAGGGCCCTGAGACTCCAGGACCGGGGCTGGCTGGTGGGAGGTTTAGGATCAGGGCGGGGCTTGGACCTAACTGGTGTGGGGCCTCCAAACAGCGCCTGGAGGAGATCATGAAGAGGACTCGGAAGTCAGAAGCTGCTGAAACCAAGGTCAGGATTCCCCCAAGAGACGTGTTGGGAGTGGAGGTCTGGTGAGGAAAGGAGGTTGGGGAAAGGCATCCAGGGTGGAGAAAGAGGTGCTCAGAGTCCGGGCTGGGGCGAGAGGAATTCAGCATCTCAGTGGGGCGGGGCCAGGTATCCCTGTGAGCCTGACACCTCTTCTTCTTGAAAGCAGAAGCAGGACAGAAAGGAGGCAAAGGCCAACAGTTCCAGCCCAGGTAAAGGCCCTGTTCCCCTCGTATCCAACCCCTTTGCCCCTATCCTCAGCCTCACCCTCTCACCAGCCCCTCACTAAGGGCCATTGCTTCCCAGTGATAGACCCTGCAAAAGCTGTGGAGGCTCGGCCCTCAGGGCTGCAGAAGGAGGCTGTGCAGAAAGAGGAGCTGGCCCCCCAGGAGCCTCAGTGGAGGTACCAGCTCCCAATCCCAGGGACCCTGAGCAGGGAGGCAGGGTCAAGCTGGAGCTGTGGGGTGCCTGGGCTGTCCTGCAGTGGGACGGACCTCAGCAGTGGATTCTGCATCCACAGTTTGTCAAACAAGGAGTCACCCGGGTCCCTGGTGAATGGCCTGCAGCCTCTTCCAGCACACCAGGAGAATGGCTTTTCCCCGAAGGGACCCTCTGGGGACAAGAGTCTGGGCCGAACACCAGAGGCGCTCCTGCCCTTCGCAGAGGCTGAAGCCTTCCTCAAGAAAGCTGTGGTGCAACCCCCACAGGTCACAGGTGGGGATCCGTGTCTCCTGGACCCTTACCTGTCCCTTCCAGCAGCCTTTCCCTGGGCCTCCCCAGCCCTGCCCTCTCTTCAAGTTCTGCCAGAGGCCTTCTCGTGCTCTACCCTGAAGACCCCCAGCCATCTGGGCTTGGGGCATGGTTTGCCCTGACTGTGTCCCCTCCTGCTTTTTTCCCAGAAGTCCTTTAAGGGGTTGCCTTGGATCCAGGCACAGCTATGAAGGCTCCTCTGCATCACCTACCAGGATGTCTGGAAGAGAAAGAGACAGAACGAAGCTGGAAGTGGCCAGGGCCCCTGGGGATTGGGGTCTCTCTGTTATTTTTAATCTGCACCTTATAGACTGATGTCTCTTTGGCTGGAGCCAGACCCTGCCCCTCAGTGCATTCGTGTGCTCACACGCACGGACACCCCCCATACACACATACACTCACAGCCTCTCTGGCCTCCTCCCTTGGGGAAGGGCCACCTGTAGTATTTGCCTTGGTTTGGTGGGGTACAGTGGATGTGAATACTGTAAATAGCTTGTGCTCAGGCTCCTTTGCGTGGAGGGGGTGGGTGCAGGAGGCGGACCCTCCCAAGACTCCCCAGGGAGACCTTCCTCCCTCTATTTAACTGTAACTGAGGGGGAACCCAGGTCTGGGGATGAGGGGCACCTTGGGCTACAGGATACTGGTTGCTTTAGGGGGACCCATGCCCCCTCCCTTGCCTGGAATCAGTGTTATTGCATCTGATCAAATTTCTCCAGAAATAAAGTGAGAATAATTCTGCCAGTCCTGTCTATCCTTGTGGCTGGCGGTGGGGTTGGGAGCAGGGGGCCTCCTGAGTTCTAAGAACTTGAGGAGCCAGGGCCTGGGGATATCCATCCCTACCTGGTACCAGTGCTAGATGTCCTGCCTGTGGTCTTCCATTCTGTCATGAATTCGTTCATTTATCATTTAACAAAAGTGGTTACCACTGTTCTGTATCAGGCGGGCTCTCTGCTGGGGACGCAGTAGTAGGAAAAGGCATAGCCTCTGTTCTTACAGAGTTGACAGCACATCCGGTGAGCATCAGAGACCCTGAGTCACCCATTCAACATCCACTCCCATCACCCCTTCCTCATTCCAAACAGAATCCTAATTTTGTTCAGGTGACTGTCTTCCTCCTGGATCCCATCCTGTACCTCAGCAGAGGTGGATCCCAAGCCCAGAGGTGAATCATAATTGTAATGAGCCAAAAATGATGGTCCCACACCCCTCATGAGTGTTTGATTTAGGCCTGGGCACATGACATAATTGCAGCCAGCATATGCAAAGAAAAGCCTCCCAAGGTTTCTAGGAAAGGCTTCTTCACTTTTGAAACAAAAATACCATGTAGGAGCCAGCTGCTAAGCTCACCTCCCAAGTGTCCCCCACCTCCTGGCGTTTACATCCTGTGTAGTCCTTTCCCACACGTTGGACCAGGGCTGGACTAAGTGACGACAGAATATAGCAGAAGTGGTGGTGTGCCACGTCTGAACTTAGGTCCTAATAGACACTGCAGCTTCTGTCTTGGTTGCTCTCTCGCTCTTGGACCACTCGCTTGGGAGGAAGACACCACTAAGTTGGGAACAGCCTTATGGAGAGGCCCAGGTACGGAGGGATTGAAGCCTTCTGCCAACAGCCACGTGAATAAACTTGGAAGTGGATCCTCTAACCTCAGTTAAGCCTTCAGATGACTGCAACCCTGGTCAACAACCTCATGAGAGACCTTCTGCTAGAACCAGCCAGCTAAGCCACTCCTAGGTTTCTAAACCTTGGAAACTGTGAGATAATAAATGCCGTTTTAAACTGCTAAGTTTTGTGATAATTTGTGATAATTTGTTTCAGAGCAATAGTTAATGAGGAGAAACCCTCCTCCTATGATAATGAAGTCCAACTGTGGTGCCTGGAATTGCTGCATCCATCCGGTTGACCTGAGGACACACCCAGCATCAAGGAGGCAGAGCAGCGAGATGGGGAGACCTGGGTCCTTGAGAACATCACTGAATTAACCAACCTCCAAACGAGTCCTACCGCTAGACAGCTTTCCTTGATGTTTAAGCCAGTTGAGTCGGGTTTTCTGTTAATGTGGCCAAAAGCTCCTAGCTCATCTAGGGACATACTACATAAATGCATTTCCCTTTGCAATATGATGAAGGAAATGAAATGGATGAAAGTATGGGCAGGGAGACTGACCCAGAGAAGGTATTCCCTAAAGACACAGCATTTAAACTTGACCTGAAGGACCAGGAGGAGCCAGCCATGTGAAAAAAGAGCAGGGAGAAAAGTTGCAGTGGGAGGGGTCAATGTAGGAGAAGCCCCAGAGGCCTGGGAGCAGGACCAGTGCTGCTGGGGCCTCTGAACAACTGGGAGAACTGTGGGGGAGGGTGGTTGGTGCGGCCAAGTCTCAGGTGTTGGAGCTGAGGGGCAGGAAGAGCCTAACAGCTTCCAGACCTCCTCCTCAGTGCATGCTCTTTGACACCCCTCCCAGCCCCCAGCTCACATTCGATTGCAATCTTTTACTCATTCATTGATTCATTCAGTACATTGTGGAGCCCCAGCTAAGGCCAGAGGGCTATTCTGTTAAGCAAAACCAGACCAGGAAGCTCTTGAAGCTTCCTGGTGGGAAAGATGTGTATTAACCAAATAACCACACAAACAAATGTAAAAATAGAAAATGTAGTTTAAGGTGGAACAGCTAAGTAACACGAGTACCTAACAGGGGGAGCTAGGTTGGAGTCAGATAAGATTTTCCTGAATAAATGGAGCTTAGTCTGAGATCTGATGGGTAGGAGGTGTTGACAGGGCAAAGTCAGGAATGCAGAAAGGAGAGAGAAGCGTTTTCTATAGGAAGGGGGAAGCATGTGCAAAGGCCCTGCATGGAAAGGAGGTGTACTTGAGTATCTGGAGGATTGTGAACAGATCTGAAGGAGTCTGTTTTTACATCTCTGAGTCCTCAGTGTCTGGTACAACAGGCACTCAGTATTTGCTGAAATAAGAAAAGTCCAGGGGGGAGGAATAAATTGGGAGTTTGAGATTAGCAGATACAAACTACTATATACAGAATAGATAAACAACAATGTCCTACTGTATAGCATGGGGAACTATATTCAATAACTTGTGATAACCTATAATGAAAAAGAATATGAAAAATAATATATATATAACTGAATTACTATGTGTACACCAGAAACTAACACAACATTGTAAATCAACTATACTTCAATTTAAAAAAAGAAAGATCCACCAAGAAGGAGGTGGAGCTTGGCACAAGGTGAGCCAGACCATGCAAGGAAAGCCTGGTAAGGCTGTGTCAGGAGTCTGGATTTTATTCCAAGGGCTATGAGAAGCCACTGAAGGCTATTAAAGGGAAGGGTGACATGGTCAGATTGGCATTTTTATTAAATCACTCTGGCTGTTGGGTAGGAAATGAGTAGGTACTTGATTGTAAACTGGGAGACTAGTTAAAAAGTGATTGCCAAGGTCCAGACAGGAGATGATAGAGGCTTAGGATCAGGAAATAGAGATGGAGGGAAATGTGCAAGATTAATTAACTTTTTTTTCAAGAAACATTGAGCACCTACTATATGCCAGGCACAGAAGTGCTGGAGATTTTCAAGTGAGCAAAAATTGGCATGTCTTTACCCTCATGGAGCTTACAGTCTAGTGAAAGAAACAGATCTTAATTAAATAATACTATAAGCAAATAGACAATTACAACTCTGGCATATGTGAAGAAGTGTGTGGTACTAGGAAAGTGAATAATGAGGAATCTGATCTAGTCAGAGAGGTCAAGGAGGGTGTCCCTGAGAAAGCAATGCTGGAGCCGAGATCTGAGGAAGTAAAAATTAAGAAGGCAGAAGGGCAGGAGTCCAGGCAGAGAAAACAGCATGTGCAAAGGTCCAGTGGTGAGCATGGCCACTGTAGTGGGAACACAGAAAGAGGAGGAGGGGGCCAGAGAGATAGGAAGGACCAGATCATGCAGGACCTGGTGGGCCATGCTAAGAACTTGGTCTTTATTGAAAGAGCACTGGGAAGCTGTTGAGAGATTTCAGCAGGTGGGTGACATGATCAGATTGATGATCTGATAAGATGGTCAAAGCTACCACTGGAGAAGGGATTGAGAAAAGAAGCGGGAGGAGTGACAGTAGGGAGTTCAGACAAGAGCACCAATTATGGTGAGAGATGATGGCATTCGGTCCAGTGAGTGGTGGAAACTGACAGGTAGACAGAAGAGGTGAAAAAAGTGAGGAATGAAAAGGAAGATGTCAAGGATGACTCTAAGCTTTCTGGGTCAAATAACCAGATGGATAGTTGTATCCTTCACTGAGAGAAGGAACTCTGGAGGAGAGCTACGTTTAGGGGGATGGATTCTGAATTTGATCTGGAAGTCAGTGATGGACTATGGATAGCCATTTCTTATACAGGGCTGGGGCTGGGAATGCGTCTGATCCCACAGGCTGGGAGGGAGGGCAGAAGGCAAGACAGCAGGACCATGCAGTGTTCAGGAGCCTGGGACCTGGGTCCTCTGGAGCAGCAGGAGGGGTTGCTTTGGGAGAACTGGCCAGGCTGCAGAGAGGCTGGCCTCCTGGTCTATTTCCTGGTTTCCTGCCGGAGCTTTAGGAATGTCCGGTCTGTTCCTGAGCGAGACTGAGCAGAGTGGAGGCGGGGGCAGAAGCCTGTGCAATGGAGAGTCCTCCCTTTCGCCAGCTCTACCCTTTCCCCAACAGGGCCAGACAGGGCAGAGCCAGAGGAAGCACCACATGCCCTTCCTTCCAACTCCCTCTGTCCCAGCCGCCACCGCTCCTGAACTGCTGCTCTTTTACACCCCTTTCTCCCCCAAATACCCCTTCTTTATCAGCTCCAAGGGCATCAGTCCCGGTGGGCCTCCCTCAGTGGAGCAGTCCCTCCACTCCCCAGCCTGGGCCCGGCTACCCCATGAACGGGCATCTGGCGCCCCCTCGTGGTTAAATCAGCACATTGGCGCAACAGGAGAAGTAGCTGCCAGAACCAGACTCAGGGCAGGGCGGTGGCCGGGGTCCTGGCTGAGAGGTAAGGAAGTGTGTGTCCAGGCCTTACCAGTGACTCACTCTCTAACTGCGGGACTATTCCCCTGACCTCTGTGAGCTTCGATTTCCTCGCCTGCAAACTGAGGCTAGTGATCTGGGTGAGGCATTCCTTAAACTAACACATCGAATGAGAGTTTTATTAGTTCCAAGACCCCCTCCCTACCTTGAGGGGACTTGACATCCTGGGGCAGCTTGACGACACCTCCTCCGTACTACTGGCCCCCTCCCCAAACCACTTGGGAACAGCCATATTAGACATATCCGATGTGGCCAGAAAATGTGATCCATGGGGCCAGATCCTCAGTCTCCAAGTGGAAGGAGACATTGAAGAAGTCAGTGACAGAACCAGGCACAGGGTGCTTTGGGAATACCAAGGAGAAATATTTGATCCAGATCTCAGGGGCAGCGGCAGCGGGCCGTGGGAGATAACATCTGAGAAGCTCCTTTAAATTAAGGAAATATCCTTTACACCTCCAAAAGACAGCCCCTAACACTCAGCTCTGGTCCAGAGTTGCCAGGAGGAATTGGATCCCAGAATTGCTGGCAATAGCCAACAAAGGTGGAACGATGGTTGAAGGGAGGTCTGCCCCAGTTGTGGACAATAAAAGTAAAGAATTTAAGAACCCTAATAAAAATGACTGAGAGTTGGCCTGCTTTTAAATATCACCATCCATTGACAATTTTAAACATCAGCTAAAAAAATCCTTCTTCCTGAAAAAAAGTTTATTTGTCTAAGTTTTAAGTAGTTACCACAGTTACTGTTGAGTTTTAATGATATATATGCAAGATTCAAATTAACACAAGTTTATTACTTTTTTTGGTCGTGGGAGGTAATTAGGTTTATTTATTTCTTTTTAAATGGAGGTACTGAGGATTGAACCCAGGACCTCATGTGTACTAAGCATGTGCTCTACCACTGAGCTATACCCTACCCCCTGCAAATTTATTACTTTTTAATAAATATTGTGTTCTGCATGTGAATTAATTAGGAGAGATCACACTTAAATAGTCCACCTCTTGAGACCCAGACTCAGATATACACATTCATTTTGAAAGTAATTTCTTTTTTTTTTCAAATCTACACTTTCATTTTCAATAAGTTTAAATAAGTTTAAATCCTTGAGGGGTACAGCATCACATGGATTCTGTGTCCAATGGCCTTAGCAGGAAGGTTGCTTTGGAATTTGGCACGAATCATGCCACTGTTTCCATGAGCACAAGTTACCTTTACCCAGATTATTCTGGTTTTGTTCAGTTTTCCACCAGGAGTTACTCATGTTGTTCTTTGTACACATAAGCACATCTTTTGCCTAGATAGAATTCAGTTTCATCTCGAGCACAAACACCTTCAATTTTTAATTTTTAAATTTGGTCGGGGGAGGTAATTAGGTTTATTTATTTATTTATTTTAATAGAGGTACTGAGGATTGAACGCAGGACCTTGTGCATGCTAGGCAAGCACTCTACCAGTGAGCTATACCCTTCCCCAGCACCTTCAGTTTTAAGAAGAGCTGTGTGCTCCCTTTGATTCTGGAGACCCCACTTACAGCCAGCAAAAATGGCCTTGGACCACAGCCTTCCAGACATATTTATCATTTTAGAAGTCCTGTTCCCCGCAGGCCTCCATAGTCTCCAAGATGGCTGAAAGAATGAAAGTAATTTCTTAAGAATTAAAGCTTGCTTTGGGCTCAGTTGGTGTCTCCAACTCTGTGACACTACATATTCCTGAGTGTAAACAGTAGTTTCA